AGGCACTATGCCGATTGCCGGTTCCATAGTGGCTATCCCCATTGTGGAAGGCGCTGATGCCCTTGAAGATTAAGATTTTCGTATGGCAGCTTCTCCGAGATCGTTTACTTCGAGGACCGAGGTGCTGAAACGCCAGGGTCCGGGCAATGGCCTTTGCCCTTTGTGCCACGTCCCGAAAACGGGAACGCACATTTTGTTCTCGTGAGTAGCAGCGCAGGCACTTTGGTGCTTTGTTCGTGAGGCTCTAGGACCGAAGTGGAAGGCCCTTGACCTTGCAGAGTTTCTGCAGGTTAGGGCCACTCAGGTTGGCCGTAAGCGCCGACTGTTCTGGCTCATCTTCGCGGCTATGATGTGAACTCTTTGGACTACTCGCAACAAGATGGTGATTGAGCGGGTGTTCCCGTGACGTGCTTCTGACTCGTTCTTCAAATTTCTTGCCTTCTTGCAGCATTGGCATCCACTCGCTAGGCCGAGGGATCGTGACCGTCTTCAGCTTTTTCTGGACGCTCTGGTGTCTACCGCGCATCGACTCTCTGACCGCTCGACAGCTTCGTAGCTTGCCCCTGGTGGCCTTTTCTGTTTCTCTTCAGTTCTTTTGGGCGTCTCTGTGCTGTGGCCTCAACAATTTTCTTTTATGACTTTGATTCGAACGTGGTTGTATGGACTTATGCTTTATCTATAAAGCGGGGCGAAAGACTGTTTCGAGAGTGGTCGTGAGGAAATGCAAAAAGCCAAGAAGTAGAGTAAAAAAGGGATGGAGTTGGAACCTGCGGACGGGGAGGACAAAGTGAGGTCGCCGGATGGAGCCAACACTGGTGGCCGTCGCGGTGTGGACAACGCTAGGTGAACGGGTCGTTCAGGTAGGGTGCCGATCACGGACAACGGCGGCCTGAGGTAGAAGCGGGTCTCGATCGTGCCGTAGACACGCACATGGTCCTCTCCATGTTGTGCGCTCGTGCCATGGCAGAAACGCATGAACCCCGCACAAATGAACCTGCAGTTGCGGCATGCACGACGGTGTGGCTGCGGTCGTAATCCGAAGAACCGTAGTTGGTTCACTCCATGTCTCCAAAATCGGCTACATGGGAGCGATCACGAGTATAGTGCCAGTCGCCGCAGCATGCCAGGAAAAAGTTCCTCGTAGATGGGATCTTCGTGGCCAAGGAGATCAAATAGAGGAGAGAGAAGAGAAGGCGAAGAAAATTTATTTTTTTCAGGGAGAAGGAGGGGTCGGGCTCTTGTGCTGGGCCAATCAAATGCCAACAACTATTAACGTGAGAATCTAGGAGACTCCATAAACAATTAACGTGATACTTCTATTTGCCATGGTAGTATAACTCCCTGATTAAGTGCAGCAATTAACATGATACTTCTATTTGCCATGGGACGTGCATGCATATGCATTGGTTGCATGGTCCTGGTTTCCGGTTCTATGGAGTTCTCTACCTTTAATTCTCCAGCCAAATGATTTATTTCCTTTCTTTTGGCGTGAAAGCTGTTTTTTCTCCTCAAGCAGCACACATATAATAGGGAGACATGAAGGGGGCGAAGGAAAAAACTATTGTTGTCCCTTCGTGGCCCACTGGCTTAATAAATTCGGATGAATAGAGCACTAACTATTTGTGAAAATTATTTCAGAACATAAATGATGACATGGATGCATGGCTGCATTATGCATGTCGATTGGTTGGTGCTTGTGTCTGAACGCTGACATGGCATGCATGCTGATGTGGACAGTCCGCATGTAGAAAGAATTGGTGAAAGTGGGGTTCTTAAGAATGTAGGATTCGGATACATGCTAAATAGTTGACTCATAGAATGTCTCCTTAAAGTAGTGTATTTCTTTGCCAAGCATAACAATAAATATTAAACAATCTAGGTCTTTCATATTAGGTTTCACGATAGTGCCTATTTCTTGCAAAACAATGATAGCTTGCAATTGTCCCTATATTTCTCTGAGAAACAAAAAAAGAGTCTTTTCCACCTAGTGCTAGCAAAGGGACAAACTCCCTCCATTCCCTTATATAAGGCTACAAACTCAAATTACAAGTACCAAGGTAAAATTTAATAACTGCTTTGCCAGCCAACTTTTTTTCTTAACTGGGATCATTAATACGTCCGCATGCATGCAAGGAAGGAATGAGAAGAAAGTAGCACAGTGTCATTATGACTACATGCATGCAAGTATTAAACAAGCTGGTAGTACGAGGAAACATCATTAATTTTGGCCTCGATTACTGTTAGTGGCCTTGTATAGATGCAAAATGTATTTTTCATAGTGGCATTGTATAAGGGAATGGAGGGAGTATGCAAACTTGCAAACTAGCCCTAAGTTGTTCGGACCTCTAATTTCTCATGTGTAAGCATGCCTCATGTTACGCAAACTAAATTCATCTCAAATCAACCTTTATTTATGTTTTAAAAGGAATAAGGGATTTTATTTTCTATGCAGGTTTACATTAATCTTAGTGTTTTCCCTTCTCAGTAGTTACATCCTTGATGTTCACAGTAATAGGCACTGGCTGATTCGGTAAATATAACCCCCTTAACTTAATGGCGGAGTATTAGATGTATAAGATTTCCAACCATTATATTAACTTTGTGTGTTTTTGAACTTTATATGCAATTATTTGCTCAAGCTTTATGAAACTATGTTGAAAATAAAACACACATATGTTTGTATGGTTGCTTTTGCTAGCAACCTAATAATAATGGAACTTAACAAAATGAAACTGAGGGATATATGCTTAACCACATTAATTTTAGTGAAGATGATGCATATAATTACTACTGGGTTTTACTATGTACTAACTTCAGTAGACATAGCAAATGCAGCAGCCCCGGGCATGTATTTGGCTGCACGTGCGAGCCTATTCAGTCGTTAGCCTTTTGTTGCGACGATGAAGCCTACCAACCAGACACCGGCAACATCCCAGAAGGCACAAGTAATTAAGCAATTGGACATCATTGCAACTTAAATTACAGCGTGAATCTAGCCCACCAAAGTTCAAGTCCTGGTGCTCGCATTATTCTTGAATTTATTTCAGGATTTCCGCCGACGACGATACGCCTATAGTGACTTCGTAAATTTCTATGATGACTTTGTAAATTTCAAGATGACATGCCGGCTCAGTCTTTTGGAGGTGCTTATGGTAGGGTGTGCGTGTATGCATTCATAAGGGTGAGTGTATGCGCATATGTACGAGTGCTTTCATCTGTACTGATGTTCAAAACAAAAACTTAAATTACAGCTTTTGTGAAACTCTTTTCAAGTACAAGGAAATTTCCACGTGCACAATGAAATGTGAAAAGTTAGGAAGGATGGCATGTTAGTTAACGATGCACTTAAATAAAATTAGCAGTGTCATGTTTGGTACAAATTTGTGAATACAACCATTTATGCATCAGCGTGGCTATTCTTTTGTTATTCCGTGGCATCCTGCAAGCATTTAATTACCTATATGAATGGAAACCATGTCAATTCCCCCTTTCTTTGAACGAGCACGGAATCTTTTTCCTATGGTAACACAGGCACTTACATGGAGGACTTCAAAGGAAGAGAGAGAGCAACATGGTCACTAGAATATGCATGCTCCCTTTGCAACGTCAGACAATTAAGTAGTCAAACAAAAGGCTGTTATTTGATTTGGCATTGGTTTTTAAACATATAGAAAATTAAAGTACATCGACGGCTACTATTCGAAGAGTCACCATCCAATTGGGCCAATCCGCCCCTGGGAAATAGGTGCGGCTTCGCTGAAGGCGACCCTCCCCGACGCCCCAGTTTGGGCCGACCCATGGTGGGTTTCACTGTTTCATCCCCTCTTTTGTTTCCTTTTTTCCTTTTCTCCTTTTTTATTTCTCTGTTTCTATTTATTTTACTTCATTTTCCTTTTTATTTTTTATTTTTCGTAATTTTATCCTTTTTTGGGTACTATACAAAAGTTTACTGTGTATTACAACAAATTTCATTATATATTAAGAAAATATTCACGGTATATTACGAAAGAGTTCACCGTGCATTATAAATAATGTTCATCGGATATTTAGAATATTTTCAAGGTATACCACAAATGTTCCCTTGTATTTAAATGTTGTTCAGCATATATTACACAAATGTTCAATGTGTATTAATTTTTTTCTCAACATACATTTCTCAAATGTTCAGTGTGTATTTGACAATTGTTCAACATACATTACAAAATGTTCAATTCGTATTATTTATTTTTCAGTGTATATATTCATATTTCCAAAATATTCATAAAATAAAAACCAAGCAAAAAGTGGGCACTACAGTGAACCGGATGCTACAGTGCCCACTTTTTGAAGAAAAAAGAACACCGATTGGGGCATAGTGGGCTGGCCAAAGCGCCCCAGCTTTAGCAAAGCTACATCTTTTTGACGCACACGGGCGGCGTATAGGGACTCCCATCCAATTAACTGCCAAGGTGCCAAATTGACGTACCTATAGCTAGCCAAGTGTTCCTCAAAAAAAAAAAAAAAAGCTAGCCAAGTCCTAACTAAGGTACTTTTCGAGAGAAGACAAGGAGAGAATCTGACAACAATGAAGTACAAAGACGACGAGGAATCACGCATGTGCTCATCCCATTGGCATGTTACCCGACGTGCTTGCATCATGCGGACCAGCTCATCGTCATTTGGTTAGCTCGTTTACTATCAACTGTTTATAACATATTCAAGTAGAACTGTTGCACATTGTGTAAAAGCTTTCTTTCGCGCGCATCACATCTTGTTGTACAATGCCTTGCCGATCTATATATTTGCGGAGAGGAGTCAATCGGTGTCGGTGGGTCGAGCGGGGGTAGGATGGGCTGGATATGAAGGAGAGGAAGCTCTATGCTGATGTATTTCTATAGAAGTGTCATTTGCAGTCAGTCAAAAAAATAAATTGAAATCTTTATTCAAGAAGCGGAACAAGATATACTACAACTTATATGGCTTCAAGGATACAAAGGCTATGGTGCTATCTATAATTATCATCATCTCCCCGGGTGGCTGATGCCTTCTCCTGCTAAATCATTTCCCTTTTTCTTTCTTTTGACCAGGCTCCCCAGATAAATTTGGTAGAAGTGTTCTGCCATAAGCCACAGGATTGTTGTCAACTCACCGCCACTGTTGAGCTTCTCGGCGTGGAACTTCCGGCTGCATTTGTTGCCTGCGTAGACAAGAATATCCGTCCACACCTCACGGACGAGTTTCACCGGGTCAACCGTGCCACCTTTCTCCATTGCCAACAGCTCCTTAGCAAGTTGAGCTACGTAGGAGAGACGAGGAGAATCGTACATGAAGCTTTTGCTCTCATACTCATCATACAGTTTCTCAGCAAGCTCATCTCTGTCGGTGGCCCTGGAATTAGAATCGGCGTCATCGTGCAGGCGGAACAGATTCTTGAGCGTGGCACCCGAGTTCATGTTCCGACGCCTATGGGTCGATCGCCAAGTCTTGACTAAACTTTCACAAGTTAGTTGGTACAACCTGTTTTGGGAGAGGCCTGGTAGCATGTCTGGTTGGTCCACGAGAAGGTACATCATGTAGTTGGATATTATCTTGATCGCCTTCACATCGTCTTCTTTGGCTTGCTCGCTCTTGGCGAGGAAAACATCGGTGCCGATGTGCCAGATGATGATGCACTCCTGGAACTCGACACCGAGGGAATCTTTGAATATGCTGCCTTCTTCTAGTAACTCCTCACGAGCCAGTGGTTCCTCGCCCCACCTGTTCTTGAGCATGCCCAGTGAGTTCACACCTCCAGCATTGTACATCTTCTTCATATGTTCAGAGATACTATCCTTGACATGGTCAGGCATGTCAATAACCCATGAGAAATGCTTCCTGTTCCAAAGCTCATTTAGTCCCAGTCCCACCTTCTTGGCCAAACTGCCAAGCAGAGGCCTGGTGAGCGCACTGTTAGAGCGAGTGCAATAGTGCAGCATGTTGTACTGTCCCATGGTATATGACCACCTCCTTGATCTGTACCGGCTGCCTCCTCCTACCCTGACAAGATGGTGAAGACATGCAACCACACGCCTGAGGCGGTCCCATCTTTCATTGCACAGAGCTGCGTATCGAAGCCAGTGCCAGCTCGTGGTACTCAGGAAGGCAAATGCCCAAGAGGAGCCTAGGGCGTTCAGCAGCGATGTCATCTCCATGAACAAGGCACCACCATACAATACGTAGGTGATATTGACGTCAACTCTGCGGTGGGCGTTCTTGTCAATGAACTTGAAAAGCAGCAGTGACGCGACAATGGCGATCGGCGAGATGAGACGTACCAAGTAGCCGAAGCAGGTGGAGATGACCGGTGCCTTGGTGTACAACATGTCATACATGAGGGAGAGCTCGGTTTCCATCAACCGCCATAGCCTGACCTCGCCTATCAATTTGGTGGTGTCTTGGCCGTGTGAATCATCTTCCATCACTGGATAGTCGACCATGGCGCGCTTGCAAATGTGGAACAGCGAGTGAGCTCGTCGCACAAGGGACTCCTCATCGAAGTCTCCATCCTTGAACACTTTATCGTGAGGGTGGAAATGTCCATGCATGGCAGCTGGTTGCTTCTTGATGGAGCCTCGGATGTCGTCGAGGTTGCCGCCCATGAGCGCCCACGTCCTCTCCCAGTACTTGACGGCGCCGATGGCGAACATCAAGGCGGAGGCAAGCCGGAGCAACGCCCCTCTGTCCACGACATGCTCGTAGAGGACATACACGGCTCCGGACATTTGGAGGATGGCACTCAGCAGGTGGCGCTTCCACAGCTTGTTGTCCTCCAGAGAGTAGGCGGTGATGTTGTCGGGGCCGCCGAGGTGCAGCAGGAGGAATGGCGCCCAGAACGCCACGATCGGCTGGTCGCGCGGCGCGCCCTTGAGGGAGAGGTGGCCGAGGGCGTACGTCGCCGTGTAGTCGGCCAGCTGATAGGCCAGCCAGAGGAAGAACCGCAGCACGGAGTGGGCTCCACGCCGGCGGATCCCGGCAAAGAGGAAGAGGGCGACCTGGAGCCCGAGGCTGAGGAGCACCAGGATCTGGATGGACCAATTGTTCCAGAGCTCCCGGGGCCAGGCAGCCACCATTGCTCCCTGCCCGCGTCGGCCGCAGGACTATACGTACGCGCCTGCAGTTTCACGGAACATATACGCCCGCAAATCACTAATTAAGCAACGCCCGTGCTTACAAATGCCGTGCGCTTAACAAAATATACGTACGTAAGTACAGGATTGCAATACGATGCGCCAAACTACGACCGGCTTCTCAGCATCACAATTGACAAATGTTGATGTATATATACATACCGCCGTCCGAAAACAGTCTGCCGGTCGATCTCCGGCCGAGAAGAGGATGGACGATGCGGCCGCCGATGAAACAGGAAATGGTGGAGAGGATTAGATCCGTTTACTTGACTCACGACTAACTAGTACAGCTGCGTATGATTCCTCGCTGGATCTTTAGAGAAAAAAAATGCATCAACCATGTTCCCCGCCCATGTGGCGGCGGGCGGGTGGGTGTACCGTATCGCACTACAGACCAGCGGACATGCCAAGAGTCGGAAGCCCCCCTGTGGCACTTCCACTTAACATAGTGCAGTTAATTCGTAGTTGTTGTACACATGGGCAACTTTATCGCCGCCCAAGTCGGCAGGCCACATCGTAGATTGGATCACTGTTGCATTTCAGAGGTATACATTCAATTAAATAAGACGGTTGCTACGAAAAGTTTTTTTTTGAAATCTACCATCACCATGTCTCTAGTTATGCATAGAAGGCAGGAATTTCTGCCGAAATAATGTGCAAAATACAATCTGAGGGTTCAGTCACCCAAACTTTGCAAAGATTATTTGCTACTCCCTTCTTAGCTAGCCCATGCGCGGCGCCGTTCGCCGTCCTCCGGACCCAGGACACCTTCCATTCCCTTGTCGCCAGCATGTTTTTCACCTCCTTGATCAAAGGTCCCAGCACGGATAAATCGTTCTCCTCCCTCTGTAGTTTGCGTACCACCTCTTGGCAGTCCATCTCAATGTGCAGTTTCGCGAAGTTTAGCTCCCCCGCTAGTTGCACCGCCCTCTTGCAGGCCCGGAGCTCCAACATTGTTGGGTCTCCACCCATAGGATAGTAATGGCACGCTCCACCGAGGAAAGCTCCGTCCTCGTTCCTGAACACCATGCCACCGCCCCTTTCTCCCCTCCCTTAGTAGCTGCACCATCAACATTCGCCTTGATCCACCCTTCCTCTTGAGCGCTCCACTTCTGGACCGGAGTTATTTCCGGGATTTTGCTCGCTCTGCCATTAACATTCTGCCACTCCTCCATGAGCCTCCTAACCATGCCAGCTGTGTCCGCCTCCTCCTCAATCCTCTTCCCATCTCGCGCGTTATTCCGTGCCATCCACAAAGCATATAATCCCTGCACCATTATAGCTCGAGCATCGTCCGACGCATCAGCAAACCATGTCAGGAGCCACTGAGATAACGCACTCTGGGAGCTTACTGACTCCGGCGGGATCGCCGCCGGTGCTCCCAATTCCCAGTACAACACTTTCTAGAATTTGCAGAGTGTGGACAGCTCCAAAACCTGTGAAGATTCGTCTCCTCTCGTCCGCACACAACACAGAACACCACGGGTTTAATCTTGCGCCGATGAAGCTCAGATCCCACCGCCAGCCCATTGCGAATAAGTCGCCGGGTATGAATTTTTACTCTGCCTGGTGCCACAGTATCCCTCATCCAAGCTCTATGATTCGCGACTGAGGAGGACGACCCCGGACTGCCTGTCTTAGCCCGTTTCAGGCCCATGCAAAGGTGGTAAGCTGATATAACAGTAAAACAACATCCTTTGTATGATTCCATGCGAGATAGTCCTCCACCGTCGGCCCCCCACTGATATTTGCAAGATCTCGTGTGCCTCCGCCAGAGGGAACATATTCTGCACCTTAGCTTGATCCCACCCGGAGCTCGTGTTGTTCATAAGATCACTGACTCTTGTTATGCCCGGGACAAACACCTGGCCCAGTGGCTTCAGGCCGCCCTTCCGCGGTATCCAATAATCATGATGTATATGTACTTGGGATCCGTCTCCAATTCGCCAAATGAGCCCTTCCAGGAGGATGTCATGGCCATGAAGTGAAGGAAATATGCCCTGGAGGCAATAATAAAGTTGTTATTTATATTTCCTTATATCATGATAAATGTTTATTATTCATGCTAGAATTGTATTAACCAGAAACTTAGTACATGTGTGAATACATAGACAAACAGAGTGTCACTAGTTTGCCTCTACTTGACTAGCTCACTGAATCAATGATGGTTATGTTTCCTAACCATAGACATGGGTTGTCATTTGATTAACAGGATCACATCATGAGAGAATGATGTGATTGACTTGACCCATCCGTTAGCTTAGCACGATGATCGTTTAGTTTGTTGCTATTGCTTTCTCCATAACTTATACATGTTCCTATGACTATGAGATTATGCAACTCCCGAATACCGGAGGAACACTTAGTGTGCTTCCAAACGTCATAACGTAACTGGGTGACTATAAAGATGCTCTACAGGTGTCTCAGATGGTGTTTGTTGAGTTGGCATAGATCGAGATTAGGATTTGTCACTCCGAGTATCAGAGAGGTATCTCTGGACCCTCTTGGTAACGCACATCACTATAAGCCTCGCAAGCAATGTGACTAATGAGTTAGTTACAGGATGATGCATTACGGAACGAGTAAAGAGACTTTCCGGTAACGAGATTGAACTAGGTATTGAGATACTAACGATCGAATCTCGGGCAAGTATCATACCGATGACAAAGGGAACAACGTATGTTGTTATGCGGTTTGACCGATAAAGATCTTCGTAGAATATGTAGGAGCCAATATGAGCATCTAGGTTCCGCTATTGGTTATTGACCGGAGATGTGTCTCGGTCATGTCTACATAGTTCTCGAACTCGTAGGGTCCGGACGCTTAACGTTCGATGATGATTTGTATTATGAGTTATGTGATTTGATGACCGAATTTTGTTCGGAGTCCCGGATGAGATTGGGGACATGACGAGGAGTCTCGAAATGGTCAAGACATAAAGATCAATATATTGGACGACTATATTTGTACATCGGAATGGTTCCGGGTGAGATCGGACATTTACCGATGTACCGGCAGGTTACCGGAACCCCCCGGGAGGTATATGGGCCTTATTGGGCCATAGTGGGAGAGAGGAGAAAGGAGCAAAGGAGGGGGTACCCCCCCCAAGCCCAATTCGAATTGGGAGGGGGGCCGCCCCCCCTTTCCTTCCTCCCCCTTCCTTCTCTCCTAATCCAACTAGGGAAGGGGGGATCCTACTCCCAGTGGGAGTAGGACTCCCCTTGGGGCGTGCCTAGGAGGCCGGCCCCTCCCCCTCCTCCACTCCTTTATATACGGGGGAGGGGGAACCTCATAGACACACAAGTTGATCATTGATCTCTTAGCCGTGTGCGGTGCCCCCCTCCACCATAATCTACCTCGTTCATAACATAGCGGTGCTTAGGCGAAGCCCTGTTCCGGTAGCATCATCATCACCGTCATCACGCCGTCGTGCTGACGAAGCTCTCCCTCGACACTCTACTGGATCATGAGTTCATGGGACGTCACCGAGCCGAACGTGTGCAGATCGCAAAGGTGCCGTACCTTCGGTGCTAGGACCGATCGATCGTGAAGACGTACGACTACATCAACCGCGTTGTCATAACGCTTTCGCTTATGGTCTACGAGGGTACGTGGACAACACTCTTCCCTCTCGTTGCTATGCATCACCATGATCTTGCGTGTGCGTAGGAAAATTTTGAAATTACTACATTCCCCAATAGTGGTATCAGAGCCAGGTTTATGCGTAGATGTTATATGCAGGAGTAGAACACAAAGGAGTTGTGGGCATGGGTATATACATATTGCTTGCCATCACTAGTTGATTCTTGATTCAGCGATATTGTTTGATGAAGTGGCCCAGACCGACATTACGCGTATGCTTACGCCAGATTGGTTCTACCGACATGCTTCGCACACAGGTGGCTGGTGGGTGTCAGTTTCTCCAACTTCAGTTAAATCAGATTCAATGAACATGGTTCTTTCCGAAGATCAAAAAGCAATCACTATACCGCGTTGTGGTTTTTGATGCGTAGGTAAGAACTGTTCTTGCTCAGCCCGTAGCAGCCACGTAAAACTTGCAACAACAAAGTAGAGGGCGTCTAACTTGTTTTTGCAGGGCATGTTGTGATGTCATATGATCAAGACATGATGCTAAATTTTATTGTATGAGATGATCATGTTTTGTAACACCATTATCGGCAACTGGCAGGAGCCATATGGTTGTCGCTTTATTGTATGAAATGCAATCGCCATGTAATTGCTTTACTTTATCACTAAGCGGTAGAGATAGTCGTAGAAGCAATAGTTGGCGAGATGACAACGATGCTTCGATGGAGATCACGGTGTCAAGCCGGTGACGATGGTGATCATGACGGTGCTTTGGAGATGGAGATCAAAGGCACAAGATGATGATGGCCATATCATATCACTTATATTGATTGCATGTGATGTTTATCCTTTATGCATCTTATTTTGCTTAGTTCGACGGTAGCATTATAAGATGATCTCTCACTAAATTTCAAGGTATAAGTGTTCTCCCTGAGTATGCACCGTTGCTACAGTTCGTCGTGCTGAGACACCACGTGATGATCGGTTGTGATAAGCTCTACATTCAC